GGGTGCTAAATTACGCACCTCATGAATGGGGATGCAGTGGCAGGTGAAACCACTATCAACAAAGTGTTGTCCCTCTCCTAGTTCTCCCAAGTAGTAACCTTTTTCGACTAGGTGAATTCAAATTAGTGCTCTTTCGTAGCATCAAGGCGCAAAGGCGCTTTGAAATCAACTTTCCCCAGGTAACCTTCACGGCTTATTAGGCTCCCAATTACCTTTGCTTACGCTAAGATCTTACCCTTTATCCTGCAGACCTTAGTCATATCTTATGATGTTGATTTTGCTCAAACTTTCTTATACAGCAGTTTTTTAAAGTTTTAATTTCGAATATTATGCGGAAGGCTAGCTCTCGGACCATTCATGTAGATGGAAATTTACGTATCCCCCCTCCCCTCTCTTCCTCTCCTCCTCTCCTCGAACCTACTTATTCATTGCGGACACAGTTTCATACGAAAACGTAACATACTAGGTTTTATCACTTACCTTATATTTTTCAAACACAAGTGCTGCCATTTGAGCGAATTCATATTAATATAAAAGTAAGATCTCACCGAAGTAATCTGTGCCGATCGAATTGAGGGTAGCCGGCACGGGGTTTCATACGTTCCTCACATTGCGCCATAATATTGTGAACATGCTCACTGGAGCAATTTTTACTTCGGCTCAACGCGCATTGCGTTTGAAGGTATCCCAACGTGGAAACCAACTGCAATCTTGACGGCGCTTCTTCCGGAGCCGATCCAATCAGGGGAGTTGTCTTAAGCAGGAGAAAAGGGTAAAGAAGAAATTTCGAGTAGAGATAAAACCTACTCCTTCAGAAGAGCTGCGAGATCTTCTGTAGTCACATCGAGCCAGGGCCACTCGGTATCCTGCCGCTCCTGCAGTGCTTACCGCGTTTGCATCACATTTCCCAACGCGACGTTCGAAACATTCATCCAACCACTAAAATAAAATCCATTCTACTGAAATCTTGGAGCAATTCAGGCATAGAACAATTTCGTAAATTTCGTAACTTCTCTGGTTCTCTTTCACTGCTAAATTTTTTCACGATAAATTCAAACTGCTTCTATCTCAGATAGCAATCTTTGAAGTAGGAACCGTTGTTTGAAAAGCTTGTATAAAACTTTCACTTATATCATTCCTGGGATTTTCAACGTAAACTTCTACAGAACGGTAATAGAATGGTTTTTTGAAGAAGTTTGGAGTTATTGCTTGCCTACTTATTTTACCTCCAAAAACAAGCCAGCACTCGCTTTTTGGAAAAGTTCGACTGATTTTCAAATCGTACATAGTAAGTGAAATTTGCAAATAGTTTAATTCATCACCAAAAAAATATTTAGCTTTTTGGACAACCACATACACGAGCATAATCGCTACATTTAGGTAGTTTTGAGCAGGCTAGAAAAAGGATTTTCATCACGTGATTAGAAATTATCATATATCCAATAATGAGTTAGTCATGGGAGCTCTCGTTTCTAA